TGGTGAGTCCTGTGCCTATTAGGAAACCATGGAGACTCTCCCCCCGCGGATTAATATCGGTGCTCCCCCATCCGACATGGTGGGAGGTTGCATCGCAACCCGGCAGGAGTTCTAGTCCCCTGTCCTCCGCATAGGCCACCAGGGTTTTTACCTCTTCTTGCGGTGGTGGATCCCTGGAGTCAAAGGGCATGTAAGCTGACCCTATCAGTAGCTCCATGTCTTCCTTCTCGGCCAGTTGTACTCTCACCCTGATGACTGTGAGGTCAATCAGAGGAATGACTTCTAAGCCACTCCTCCGACTCTTTATTGGCGCACGCTATCACCAGTGCCCCATCTATGTCCTAGGTGCCGATGAAAGTGGGGGCTTTGACATCTCCGGACATGCCGAGGATGCGAGACCTAATCAATTTCTTGATCTCCAACCCCTCATCAGCTCCTAATTTCTTGTCAGGGTAGCCCTCCAATACTAGGGCCACCTTGACAGTTGTCACCTTCTGTTGTTACCTGGGCATAAGACCCTTCATTTCTGGGTCTCTTGTCTTGGCGATTGGTAGGTGGACTAGGGGTAGCGTGCTCCGGCTTAGCACGCTTCGCCGCGCCACCCGAAGCTCGTCTACCCCCAATTCCTGTTTTTAAAGCAACAGCAGTATGGGTGTGAGGAGCCTTAGCAGCCACACTCTCCCTCGTCTGCCTCTCGTTTCCCAAACGGCGCCTGGTGGCCCCGCTAAGTCTTTTGCGAGGCGGGGCCACAGAGCCCGCTCTCGTATCGTTTGGACTCCCTGGGTGTTTGCTTCCGAAGGAAGTTTCGCCTTTGGGAGTTTTGGAAGGGGTGCTTTTTGAAATGTTATCCATTTGAGTCCCACGAGTGTCGCGGTCCCGCGGTCTCACCCGGCCAGAGCCGCGTATGGCCGGGGCTTGGCTATACTCCTGGATTTCGCCTGGTATCCAGGAGGCACCGTTCAGGACGCAACACCCTTTGCGCCACGCAGCTCTCGGCACGGTTGCTCACACCTTAGTCTAGGGGGTTCCTCTTAGTTGGCCGCGGGCGGGCCCACCCCTGAGCGAATGACCACCGCCCGCAACCTTAAGCCGCACCACCCGTTCCGGCGCGAGAGCCTCGAGCATCTGGTGTCCCCCGAGGACACCAGATGCTCACCTTCTGTGGTCAATACTTGTCCCGTCAGTTTACACATTCATTGTGGCAGCACGACCGGGCAGATCTGCTAGCGTCCACTCGGGGGCTGACGATCAATGCTCGGCCGCGCCGCCACCAGCACACGCTAAGAACAAAATAAACGTTCCGTGTAGTTACTGCGAGGCGGCCAAACCGCGTGCACACCGAGCGCTCCGCGGACCCGGAGCTCCCGCCTCGGAGCTACTATAAGGTAGGAATCCATTCAAGAGGTTATAGAAGAAAACTGTATAAGAAAAAATGTATGCTGAATTTTGACATTCCAAAGAACAAGCGCCAATCCTTAGCACTATTTATTTCTGTAGAAGCATTTTAGATTTGATGCAGTAAATACGACTCCAAAGGACTTAGGAGAAACGTCGGTTTACAGGTCTCTATAGTCGGTATCTAGTACCCTCTTAAATAACTCAGTAATGGTTCAGAATCATGATATACAGATTACTCAATAAAGTTATTCACAAAGAAATTCCGATCTTTGTTTATATCGACACTTTTTCCTATATTTTTTAAAGTTTAATATATAAATATGTATAATATACACATATTTATACATATAAATATACACATGAATAAACTTCCCACACAGACATCCATCCATCCAGACATCCATTAGACATCTATTAGATGTCGCATGGAGTTGTCGACGTCTAATAAACGTCTAATGGAGTTTTTGTTGTGTGGGTTTCTTCAATAATTTAAAAATGTTACACCGCAGTTAATTCACTAATACTTTAACATTATAAATACATACAGTCGAATTGCGTTACTGTTAATCTCCATACTGTTAACATCGTGTTACTGTTAACACGCTTCCTCTCGATAATGTTAACTTCTCCGTCTCCCACTTACTTTATGTCAGCTAATCATAGTACGAAGTTTGTAACGCGTGTTTTCTGCGCACGATCCGGCGCATTTCATCAACTGCGTGCGCATAAAGTTCAAGAATAGTAAGGATGAGGGGAATTGTTAACACTAACGCGAGTAGTTCGGACAAACGTGTTAACAGTAACGCGATTCGACTGTAATACGTATTGAGATGTTTTACTATTCTCAATAATTTTATGTATTTTTTATAAAACTAAGTCTCGAAAAAGTGTTTCGAGATATTGTCATATGCAAGAACAGCGCGCAACGTCGGTAACGTGTCTCGCCTTGTGGCTGGCTTGGTGGGAAAGAGACGAAACATAGTATGTCTGCATTCTTCCACGAGCCGAACAGCCGAGCGCACACGGACGGCAGTTCTTGCTTGTGTGCGTGCCTCACCGCTTCGATGCTCTCGTTGCTCTCGGCTCGATCTTACAACTCTGCTAAGAAGATATATATGTGGTATGTGAAGGTATACACTGTTACGATATATATACAATATATTCTAGCTTGTCACACATACACACATACAACATAATCGACGCATGCGTATTGCGGTACTATGTACAGACAAGGATAAATAGATGTTGCGGACAACGGCAAGTTAGCCTTTCCCAATATACAGGGTGTCCCAGAATTGGTGTGACATCTCTCGTAAGCAGGTAGAAGGAGTAAAACGGAGTCGAAAAGTCCTGAACCATTTTTTTTTTTATTATTTATAATAAAGGAGTAATTATTGAGTAAATCAGGCCAATCAGCGCCGACCTTTAGCCAGGCGCACGTCAGGGAACCGCGCAGAGCGCTCACACACACACCAGGCGCGTGGCTCACTGACATGCGCCTGGCTAAAGGTCGGCGCTGATTGGCCTGATTTATTCAATAATTACTTCTTTATTATAAATAATTAAAAAAATGGTTCAGGACTTTTCGACTCCGTTTTACTCCTTCTACCTGCTTACGAGAGATGTCACACCAATTCTGGGACACCCTGTATATGTTCTAAGCTTAATACGCGTATTAAGTACTATATTAGGGAGCTTTTCAGCTACGTACACAGGCGACACTGTACAACAGTGTTTACTAGTGAGAGTGAGACACACTGATATGCTCTTTCTCACACTAATGGACATTGTGTTACACAGGGAGCTTTCCAACTACGTATACAGGCGCACTCATATATATAATACTTCTATATTGCTAGTACGGTGCCGACCTGAAGCCCAAATGTTACGGTGCAGACAATATAGTAGCCTCTCTCTCGCGCAAGGTCCAGCTGCTTTGTGCGCATGCGGTGAACATTCAAGCACGGTTGGGCATTTCTCTTTCTCGCGTTCTTTCTCTCACTTTCCAATGCTTTGTCTCGCTCGCACTTGCTTAGTAGACGCGCCTGCGCATAATGACGCTCGGCTATCTATGCCCATATTTGGACTTCGTGCGTCTCTCTTTCTCGGGCCTCGTGCCTCTCATTGCGAAGATACGCGACTAGCAATATAGAAGTATTATATATATGGGCGCACTGTAACACAAGGTTTATTAGTGTGAGAAAGAGCATATCAGTGTGTCTCACTTACACTAGTGGACACTGTGTAACACAATGGACACAGTGTTACACAGTGTTGCCTGTGTACGAGTTGGCGTCGTTCGCGATACGACGTTTAACTGTACATAACGCGTAAGCGGCGTAAGAAATGTCCGAGTCCTTCGGCTCACTTCTTGACTTTTATTATTTGTTAAACTTTCTTTATATATATATTAAATTTATATATATACAAAAAATAAAACGCACAAATGTACATATGACCAATCACAGACAAAGTGCAGAAGAATAATCGATTGTGATTTGTCAGTTTCTTACTGTTACGGCCTACAACTCTCCATTGTAGACGGCTCTTTATACGTCTATGATCGCCTGCTGATTGAATATTTTCGATGTTCGCAGCGCGGTGCGCTGCTTTGACTTCCCGGCCTGTGCTGCCGTCGCACGGCCGATTTCTTACAGTATCAATGCAGATCAGAAAACGGAATAAGCAATAGCGATAAATTTTCCGACGAGTTGGAAGCCCCTTGCACAATGGACGGAATAGCGATAGCGATAGAAATAACACCAGTTTTAAAGAGTTTATATTCATAAATAACGATAGGAACAGCGGAATCTAACATACAAAAATACACATGTATCAATGCAGATCAGAAAACGGAATAAGCAATAGCGATAAATTTTTCGACGAGTTGGAATTCTGTGTCTATTGCTTATCGCTATTACTATTCCCTCGCATTGTGCAAGAGGCTAAATTCTGTGTCTATTGCTTATCGCTATCACTATTCCCTCGTATTGTGCAAGAGGCTTTATGAAAACAAATATATGTTCCATGCTCATTGCTCAGTAGGTTACATATATACAACTTAGCCATTCAATCTCAACTTGTAAATTGTACAAAATGACACGTGAATTTTCTGTTCTGTTGACTCAATCTATCTTCAATCTATTTTCTTTGGCTATCAAAATTTTTTAACATTATCTTTAATATAAAATAAAGACAAATATTGCGTACGCCATATATAAATATATTATAAAAAATATACATTTGTGTATATTTATGTAATATACACACTCACTTTCACACATTAAATTTAAATAATTATAATTTTATAAATAATTAATGTAAATAAATAATTTATTATATAAATAATTATAAATTATTGTAACTAATAATTAATTTATTAAAGAAGTCTATTTTATAAATGTAAAAAACATGTAATAAATGTAAAAAACATTTTCAACTAAATATATAAATTGATTTATTTGTATACATAATGTGTATAATAATTAAAACATTATCTTATATATTCTTGTACGCTGTTAGTGATATCCAGATTAACCCCCGCAAACAACTTGTTGCGTAAAACGTGATAAGCAGTAAACGTTTGTATTAAAGTAACATATGTATTAGAGTATGTTCGTTTTGGGCGTGTATGTGTTTTAAGCATCAAACTGTCTTTATTACTCTTGAAATGTAAAACAAAGATAGACAGCTCAAAGTGCATGAACATCCGAAGCATCTTAGCTAACACGTCATTATCCTTGATTAATACGAGATATTCCGAGATAGGCTACGGTCCACGACTCTCACAAGTCGCGAGTTGCGAGTCGCGAGTAGTCACGCAAATATACGCGGAAAGTGTGTTTATAGTCTCTAAGCACATTTTAACTATTTGTTGCTTCTTTGTTAAGAAACTCTCGTGTATATTAGAAATTTTTGAATGTTCGATGAATTGATATCAAATACAATCTAAACATCAACATCATAAATAAGTAACAATATTCACATAAGTATAGAATTTGTAATAAAAAATAAAAAGTGAGTTAAAGTTTTATTTTAAAATTAGTTTAGCTGAGATTTTTTCTTTTTGTAAATTTAAATTATGTATGTATTATGTATGTATTATTACTAGTATTTTCTTATATAAAATTGTTTAAATTTATAATTGATCTCTGTGTTTTGTCAATGTGTAACAAATGTGTTATTGACTTGTAGGCAATGGAACACACAATTCTGGTTATAGGCAGTGGTGCTAGAGAGCATGCTATTTGTTGGAAATTATCTCAGTCACCGCATGTAAATAAGAAATTGATCAATAAAAATATAATAATAATTAAAAATATAAATAAAAATTATAATGTAGAAATTAATATATATATATATATATATATTTGATATAGGTAAAAGAAATTTTGGTTGCTCCTGGGAATATTGGAATTAAACAAGTGGAAAAAGTGGAACTGGTTGAATTAGATATTATGAATTCTAAGGTGCATCATACATAAATATATTCTTTTTTATATATCTACTAAATGTGTGTGTTATCTTTTTAAAATTTTTTTAAAATATAAATTTTATAATATTAATTTTTCCCTGTAGCAAGTTGCTAAATGGAGCAAAATAAACAATATTGATTTAGTAGTGATTGGACCAGAAGATCCTTTGGCTAAAGGAATAGCAGATGACTTAAAAGTTGTGGGAGTCAAATGTTTTGGACCACAGAAGCAAGCAGCTATGATTGAAGCTAACAAAGAGTGGGCAAAGCAATTTATGGAGAAAAATTGTATTCCTACTGCTAAATGGCAAAGTTTTACATGTGCTGCAGAAGCTAAAACTTTTGTTAAAACGTAAGTAAACTATTTTTAAAGATATGCATTAAAGAAAAGAAAAGTATATATATAATTCTTAATTTGTTATAGAGCTCCGTTTAAGGCACTAGTAATTAAAGCTTCTGGTTTAGCAGCAGGTAAAGGTGTGGTAGTAGCAAAAGACCAGCATGAAGCTTGCAATGCAATAGATGAGATTTTGAATGATAAGAAATTTGGAGCTGCTGGTGAGACTGTCATCATTGAAGAACTTTTAGACGGAGAAGAAATATCTGTACTTGCATTTACAGATGGTAAATAAAATGTTCTGTCACGTTTGTCTAATATTTATTTCTTAATGCAAAAAATGTGTGCATAAAGTGGTTGCTTAATGTCAAAGTTTAATGATGCTTAGGAAAGACTGTTGTGCCTATGATGCCTGCGCAAGATTACAAGAGAATTTTTAATGGAGACACTGGTCCAAATACAGGTGGAATGGGAGCTTATTGTCCATGTCCACTGTTAAGTAAAACAGAGTACGAACAAGTAAAAATAAATATTATGCAAAAAGCTATTGATGGTCTTAAAAAAGAAAACATTTTATACATAGGTTTGTACATACTTCTGTGTTCAATAGTATATAATATGAATATATATATGAAACTGATATATAAAACAAATATTAAAACTTAGGTGTACTGTATGCTGGATTAATGTTAACTGAAAATGGGCCCAAAGTCTTAGAGTTTAACTGCAGATTCGGGGATCCGGAAACGGAAGTAATATTACCATTATTGACATCGGATTTATTCATGATTATGAAGGTATAATTCGTATTATTTACCCAGATAGCCAAATAATAGCAGTATGCCAGCAGTATGCACGCAGGTTTAATCAGCACTTTGCAGCAGATTCCACTCAGCTGTGTTCTCATATGAGTGAATTGTGTAGGCACGATATGCAAGGAAAGCAACACAGCGAAAATATAGAAATAAATAAAGACAAGAGCACGTTATGCATAAATCTGCTACATTTATTTATTTTAGCAAGTTCCCCAAATAACCAAGACTGAATGAGCATATTTTGCAAAGTCTGCAATAACACATTTATGCCAGTACAATGTAGTCATTCAAACATCTGTATTCATAATCTGTTATTTCAACTAGTGTCGACAGAAAAGCAGAAAAAAAAAGAGAATATAAATGTGTCATGCCGTGATGCAAATATTATTGCATCAATCAAGCAGAACTTGCTAAAAAAAAGCAGATTTGAAACATAACGTGCTATTTCATAACGTGTCATTTCATTCTTCATTTATTTCTATACTTTTGCTGTGTTGTTTTCTTTACATATTGTGCCTACATAATTCACTCACTATGATGACAGCTGAATGGAATCTGCTGCAGAGTGCTGATTAAACCTGCGTGCATACTGCTGGTATACTCCTCATTTGGCTATCGAGGTCTGCTTGACTGATGCAATAATATAATATTTATAATATTTGCATCGCGGCATGACACCTTTGTATTCTCTTTTTTTCTGCTTTTCTGTTGACACTAGTTGAAATAACAGATTATGTTTGAATAGCTAGCTACATTCTACTGGCATAATGTGTTATTGCAGATTTTACAAAACATGCTCATTCAGTCTCGGTTATCTGAGTAGTTATATATACATTGTAGTATGCAATTTGATTTTGCGTGAATATGATTTGATTACAGGCTTGTTGCGAAGGAATTTTAGACTCATCTCTCGTTTCGTGGAAAGAAGACGTATATGCTGTAGGTGTAATGTTAGCATCTCGTGGTTATCCTGAGTCTTCATCTAAGGGTCAAGTAATAACAGGCATTGATGATGTGTCACGTAAACAGGACCATTTCGTTTTCCACAGTAGCACAGCTGTTTCGTCAAATGGCGATGTGATAACAAATGGTGCTTTTAACATAGCGAAAGAAATTCAATTAAATATTCTAAAAATAATTCTGTAATATATAAATGACATTTTTATAGGTGGCAGAGTTCTTATTATTGTTAGTATAGCGTCGAACTTAACTTTAGCAGTAGCTAGATCCACTCAAGCTGCTCAACATGTGTCATTCGAAGGAAAACAAATCAGAACGGACATTGCACATAAAGGAATTGCTAGGTATACTTATTGTGTATAACATATTAATATATTTTGTAGCAACAAACAGTGTTAGCATTAAAAAAGTGTTTCAGATCTATTTTACATAAAGGACAATTAACATACGAGATCAGTGGCGTAAATATAGCTGCCGGAAATCATCTCGTATCCGCTATCAAACCAGTTACTTGTTCCACACAACGTACTGGTACTTTAAGTATCATAGGTGGATTTGGAGGTCTCTTTGATGTAAAAGCAGCAGGTTACAATGATCCTATCTTGGTATCTGGTACTGATGGTGTTGGCACCAAATTAAAAGTGAATAAAAGTGAATTGTCATAGGATGTTTGTTTTCGTATTGGTAAACCAAAATTAATTATTTTCTCTGCAGATTGCAATTGAATGCAACAAACACGATACAGTTGGCATCGATTTGGTAGCTATGTGCGTGAACGATATTCTTGCACACAACGCGGAACCACTATTTTTCTTAGATTATTTTGCCTGCGGCAAACTTGATATTGAGACAGCTACAATGATTATAGATGGGATAGCCGAAGGTTGTAAAGAAGCAGGATGCTCTTTGGTAATTATACAATAGTAACATGATGTTTTATGATGTCTAAAGAGAAAATGATTAAAAATATACAAATGTCTGAAACTTTTTGACATAGCTGAAGTATGAAAGTAGATTGGAACAGAAAAGTCAGCGATATTTATTAGCAATATTTATTAAGTTATTAATTAGAATAAAATAGAATATTGAATTCCCCTAAGGGTTACAATTTTTAAACAATATCATTTATATCTATCTCTAATAGCCAAGCATGTTTTGCAAATTTATGTAACTTAATGCTGAGCAGAAATTTTCGACTAGTTGCTGTGCATTTGCTGAAAACGTAATGCATAGTCATACGTAATCAACAACACAAAGGTAAATTTGAGACATTTTATGTCAATAGATTCAGAGCAAACAAAGAGCAACTGTTGCTCATTACGTTGTCAACAAAATGACTTCTATTTATGGAAAACTCTTTGCTTTGTCATTCGTTTTTGGCAACATAGGAGCAACATGACGGTAACAAAACAAGACACCGTCTGTACTTGACAACTAAGAGTTGCTTCTGATGACGGATGTTTGATCGATTAATTTGAATCGGGGGAAAATCAGATGATTGGACGCGCGGTGTCGATTCCTTTTAAATTTTTTACTATAAATAATATTCCATTATAAATAATAGAATGAGTTTTTACATGTATCGTACTAAAGATGTTAAGTTTTAATTCTTGCGTGATTATTATCAAAAGCTGCTAATTATGCGCAAAACGTAACAATATCTTAATATAACTGTTGCAAATTTTGCAAAATTGTGGCTTTTTTGTTCAGATTGACTCAATCTACCTTCACACTTAGGCTGTGTCAAAAAATTTTAGACATCCTATACATAATGTCACGTAATAAATAATTATTTGTTTCAAACATTAGATTGGTGGAGAAACGGCTGAGATGCCCGATATGTATTGTGAAGGAGAGTATGATTTGGCGGGTTTTGCGGTGGGCGCAGTTGAAAAAAACAGTTTATTACCACGTCTAAATGATATTAAAGAAAGTGATGTGGTGATAGGTCTTCCATCCAACGGCGTGCACAGTAATGGCTTCAGTTTAATACGAAAAGTAATGAAACTTGCTGATAAAAAGTATACAGACATCGCACCATTCTCAAAGAATAATCGAACTATTGGTACGATTTCTAAGTCATATTTCTTATAACATCGGGTGCATACAAGAAAACGTAAAGATTACGGGAATAATTTGACACAGGTGACGAACTGTTGGAACCAACAAAAATTTATGTGAAAAACGTTCTTCCTGCTTTACGAACAAATCTAGTAAAGGGATTTGCGCACATTACTGGTGGGGGTCTCGTCGAAAACATACCTAGGATTTTACCGGAAAACTTGAGTGTAACATTAGATGCAACAAAGTGGAATGTTTTACCAATCTTTGGCTGGTTAGCGGCAGTCGGTGATTATCATTTTAAACAAAAATATCTAGATATCTCTTTTAGATCTTTAGAGTTTATTTATTTTAGAGTTTAGATCTTTGTTTTTAATAAAACATACTGCAAATGTACATATATTAACGTACTACATAATAGAAAAATAATAATTCAAACACTTTTGTCTTTGTTTTGCAGGTGGAATCAGTAAATATGAAATGTTAAGAACGTTTAACTGTGGAATTGGTGCTATCATAATATGCTCCAAAAAAGATAAGACTGAAGTTTTAAATAAAATGAAAGATGAGAAACCAGCAGTAATTGGAAGCGTGAACACATATCGCAGTAAAAAAATATTTTTGCTATTTATCAATTATTCTTAATGTAATGTAGTTTAATTGTATTAATTTGTACTTATCTTATTTATATTTAAGTTGAGGACCAAACTAGAGTGCACGTGAAAAACTTCGAAAAGGTCATCGAATCAGAAATGAAACAATATATTCCTAATTTAGTTATGACACTGGGTAAACCCCTTAAAAGAGTAGGAATTTTGATATCTGGCAGCGGAACAAATCTTCAATCATTAATCAATGCTACTCAGGATCCGTTTAAGCATATTGGAGCAGAAATTGTTTTAGTAATCTCCAACAAGCCTGGTGTTGAAGGATTGAAACGTGCCGAAAGAGCTGGTATTAAGACAGTGGTAATTAATGCGCATATTCATATGTATATAAAACTTAAATATTGCATACAAAACTCGTTTTATATAATTTATATTTAATTTGTAGGTTATTAAACACACTAATTATCCAAGTCGCGAATCTTTTGATGCAGCCATGAATGTGGAGCTTCATGCTGCCGGAGTAGAAATAGTATGTCTGGCCGGTTTTATGCGAATTCTGTCAGAACAATTTGTGAAACACTGGAAGGGAGCTCTACTAAATATTCATCCGTCTCTTTTACCATCTTTTAAAGGCCAAAATGCACACAAGGATGTTTTAGCAGCACGTGTGCGTGTATCGGGTTGCACTGTACACTTTGTTGAGGTATCAACGACGATAAAATTATGTTTTAAGAAAAAGATAATTGATGTTTTTGTGTTGTAAAACTTCCTACGTATGGTTTTCCAGTTATATTTATACTGACATTTTGTGAATTTCATTTCAGTTTACTTCAGAGATTAATAGAGCATGAGTAAACTGTTATAATCAATAACTAACGCGGTTCTAATCTGGAAATTATATGCAAAAAAAATAGGTGTATCCAGAAGCAAAATAAAGACCTTAAAGCTTGTAGTCCACTTATTTAACTCACTACCGCCACCAGTGGACTATAGGCTTTGGGTCCTTATTTTGCTTCTGGATTTATCTTCAAGCCGTTTCAACGTACTTAATTTTAAAAAAATAGATGTATTTAACATTATTATTTTACCTTTAATGAATACTCTCTTATCAATTAGGTTGATATCGATTCAGGAGCTATCATTGAACAAGAGACAGTACCTGTGTTTCCTGATGATACTGAAAAAATTTTAGAAGAACGTGTAAAGATGGCAGAGCATCGAGTTTATCCACGTGCCTTGAAATACTTGGCAACTGGTCGTATAAAATTAAGGGAGGATGGCACTCTCCAATGGAATTAATATTTTTTTTGTCAAATTTATAAAATATAGAAATTATGATTTTTATATTTAAGTAAAACCATAGAGATCAGAAATTTGAAGAAAGAGAGCTATAGTTGTCATAAGACATGAATTTCCAAATAACACTCTTTTTTATTACAGGAACTTGATTGTTAATTTAAGGTAAGTGTAGTAGTAGCTCCCGAACTATATAAAGAGTAATTACCCAGTAAGCAAAATGCGCGCAATATGCCAGCAGATTGGCAACAGATATACTAAAAAGTTGCGAGCAAATTGGCATCTGTTATGTCCGCATTAGGCTTACGATCTGCTAGCAAAGCCTGCTCACAGAATCTGATAGCAGATT